TTATTCAAGACCTATCAACCTGCATATGTAATTACAAGTGCAATGCAATAAATATAATTTACATGGACAAGATCCACTTCAACCTAAGTGTTTCTGCTAATACTACCAGGTGGTTTTTGAATAAATTTACTGTCTTGTGTCCCCACACAGAAAAGGTCTCCTTGCTTTCTGAAGCATTTGTGTTACAAACCGCATTCAGCTCTTCCCTCAATTCAAAGAAAATGCCCTGTCCAAATGACAGTGACACGTCATCACATAATTCACAAAGCAAACATGCTGTCCATTCTGCGCACATCTCTGCTTCATTCATGGCAGTTCACGTAAACAAAAATGTTTTATCTGAAAAAAAGACAGTAGGACAGGAGGCTGAAAAAGATACTTTTACAATAAAAACACATTTAAAAAAAGTGATTTTGTCTAATAACACTTAGAATTGGAATTTTCTTCTATCACAGGCCAACTGACAGTCTTCATCCAGTCCATAAAACCAGCAGTTCCAGAGGAAGGTTCCCAACATCACAGTGCATGCCGAGAAAAATCAGATTTTAAAGTGCTCTGAAAGCAAATTTGATTGAAAGAATATGAAATACATTAAATGCTGAATTCTACTGGTAACAGAATGAGTTGAGACTAGTATAATTTAAAATAACCTTAAAAACGGATACATTTTTAAGAGTGTTTGAAATAAAAAATACTCTATTTGAAGATATTCCCGTAGTGCTGAAGGCTTATACTAGTAGATTTCCAGGGGTGGCAGTTTTAATAGTAACGTTGGAGATGTACAGTCACTCCCTTAAGCTAGATTGCAATAAGCCCTATGCTCCTCTAGAAGTATGATCTATTTACACGTGAACATTTCAAATTCTATCCTCGGGTACATATGTACATACATTGTGAGAAGACGATTAAGCCCAGACCTGTAAAGACACAAACAGATAATTTTTAGTCCCTTAGTAGTTAATAACTTGTAAAACTTGAATTTAAAGAGATAGTTTATTCACACACGTGTGCACACATGCGCGCGCACACACGCACACACACACACACTCCATCCAAAGTAGGGCACTCACAAGCCTGAGAAGGATAACACTTCACTCCTGGCAATTCCAAGGAGCTGCTTCGCACCTGACTCCCTGTGCCCTTAGTTAACCACCTGTAGGGCACCTGCAGCCCTCTTCCCAGGGACTGGTAACGCTTCTAAATTGAGAACTGAAAACATGTGCACCCATACAGCTCACTGTGTACACGGACATGACTTTACTAATTTAGGACACTCTTCCCTAGGACGATGAACTCACAAAAAACTTTTTTATTTCAGGAACTCTGCAAAAATCCTTTCATCTATTTATCCTAAATCTAGATTACTCAACTTACCCTCCTTGTAAAAGACACAACCTAGAGCATCAAATGACTGTTTACTTTTCAAGACCTTCTTTGGAATCCCCCATCCTGTGTCCAGCAATCTTAAAACTATATCATGTCACAAGTTTTTCCCATCCTAAGTCCCCCCATCCAAAGACCTGCCTTAAACCAGACCCCAAACGCCTCGCGCATGCCTTTGCTCTCCTTTCTGAGATGCTACTAAGCCTCTGCCAAGCTTGTGATCGTCCACACCGAGGTAGGCAATAAACTTAGCTTTGCTTTATGAACAGGCTATTTTGGGGGTGTTTTGGGAGAGCCAACATTTGACAAGGTCATGGAGATCTCTTTGAGAATCTAATGAAAGCCATGTGGGCACTTTTCCTGGAAAAATGCACACACACAAAATTTGGCATAAAACTTTAGGGGCTTCACAGACCCCCTAGAGTGGGCCTCACATGGGTCGGTGACCCTTGTCACGACAAAGTCAATAACAGGAGTAAGAACGCCGCACTACAGGAAGCAGAGATTGGTTATCTGTGGTTTGACAAAGGCTGGAATCATAAGAATCAGATGTTTTGGATCCCTTTGCGGTCATTAAGCCCAACTATTCCCTCAACTACATGCTGACACATTGTTGTCTACTCTGTGCTTGAACCACCTGTATTGATGGGGAACTCACTACCTCCCCAGGCAACTCTTTCCTTCTGTGCTGTGGGCAGAGCTGAAACCAGAGCTCTGTTTGGCTTAGCAGGCCCTTGTTAGCTTACCCAGACCCCTCTGCTCCAGAAGGCCCACCACCTGTCCTCTCTCCTCTCACACGCAGGAAAATAGAAAAACATCTCTCTTACTCTCAGGGTATGATCCCACGATCCTGAGCAGAAAGCGGTGCCGTCAGGGGAAACGCGCAGAGTACTGACTCGGTTTTCATGTCCAAACAGGATGGAGACTCGGGCCCCCTTGAGAACATCCCAGACATTGATGGTATAATCGTTGTAGCCCGCAAACAGCAGGCGACCTTGAAGCAAGGTGATGCGATGGTTATTAAACCAGTTTCTTCCTGTTTCTCTTGTCATGCCTGTCACTCACTCACCTACTCATTCATTCCCTCATTCGTTCATTTGTTCAGTAAGCAGTGATTTAGGCCCGTGGTGTGCCAGGCACTGTGCTTTGCCCTGAGGATTCAGAGAGAAAGCACCTTCGCTGCCCCCTGTGGAGGAGGCGGAGAGGAATAAGTCACTGCAGCCTCACGTGGTAAGTGCCCCGTGTGTGCACGGTGCCACGGGACCAGGGAGGGGATCAAGGAGGGCAGTGCAGACACAAACATCATTTTTAGTCCTTTAGTAGTTAACAACTTGTGAAACTTGAGTTTAAAGAGATCAAATCAAAGCAACATTTGAGATGGCTCTTGAGGGCTGAGTAGAGAAAGATGTTCCAGGCGGCAGCAGCAGCATCACATGCAAAGGCACAGATGAGGGGACAGAATGGGGGTGTGTCTGGGGAAACAGAGTGGTCCAGTGGCCCAGCCTGTCAGCTCTGCCTTCACTGTGGGGCAGAGGAGCCAGGAGTTTCAGAGCGCTGAGAGAGCACTCTTGCTCCCCTCCTTTGGGGTATCTGGAGAGAAGGGAAAGCTGGGGAGGAAATGCCCAAGGGCGTTGCAGATGTGAAGTTCCCCCACAGCCTTCCCTCCCCTGGAGTGAATGGGGCTGGTGAGAGCCTGTGGACAGACCAAAACCGGAGGTGGAAAAGCACAGGGGAGGAAGATTAGCGCAACTGTGGATTATTTAGCATACTGGCCCCAGGGAAGCTCAGGTGAGGGAAAGCTTGATGGGGCACTGGGTTTCATGCAGGTCCTGTCCTACAGCGCTGGGAACGTTTCTGAAATGAGATCTTACCACTGAGGGAGAAGTCCACGCTGGATGCTCCAAATATGATACTCTCTTTGGAATAGATGGCAACCTCCCTGTCTGCCCGGAGGTCGTAGAGACGACACTAGGGTGAGAATGAACAGACAGAGAAGCACTGACTTTTGGCTCCAGTTTGGTGATGAGATGACCACAGTGCTACAGGCAGGGGCCAGAGGCTTGTGCAGTTTTAGGGATGAGGGAAAAAAACCTCTTTATTAATCCCTCCCATTATTTCATCCCTCAGTCCCAATTCTCCTTAGTCTCCATGGACCAGTGGAGATTCAAAGAAACCGCAAATGCAGAAAATTTCTTTAGGTACAAAAATGAGACCCCACTTTTTTCTGATAAAGGACACGTGTTCATTGCAGAAAATTAAAAAATATTCAGAAATGCATAAACAAGGAAATGAAAGTCACCCCAAATTTTAAGAGGTCTTTGCTCAAGTCTGGGCTGTCTCTTTCTGTCTTATTTCTATTTCATGTGTGTGTGTGAAGGGGGTGGATGTTTCATCATTGCTTCTATTAACATTAGGTTGTGAGCATTTTCCCCTATTATTAAATAATCTTAAAAAAAGATGATTTATGTGGTTGTTGAATATGCCTCATGTGCATATATCGGAATCTATTTGGCCATACTCTGTTAAGTATCTTGATTGTGTCTAATTTTTCTTTTATAAATAATGTGATGACTATTCTTACGCAAAAACCCTTATACATATTTGATATTGTCCTTAGAATAGCTAAGGAATAGAATCCTTAGAATAGAATTGTTCCTAAGAAATAGCATGACCAGATCAAAGGGCAGGGATGTTTCTCGTGATTCACGCGGCATTTCTCTAGAAGGTGGTACCAACAGTGCTGACCCCAGCCTTGTCCAAGGCTCCTCACCAACTCCAGCCTTGGGCATTTCTTTGCTAATCTGAGAGGCAAAATGGGCATCTGATCACTTAAACTTGCATTTCTTTGATTACAGATGACTTTGAAAGCATTTTCAGGTGTTTATTTGCCATTTTGAATTTACTGCTTTGTATATGGTCTGAATTTTATCCTCTTTTTTTAAAT